TAAAGTCACCACTTCTTCCTTCCAGCGACTCCTTTCTTTTTTTTTTGTTCATCTGCATGAAGCCGGTGGATGAATTTTCCCGTCTAATCCCAGGTAATCCTGACTTTCCGGCTGTTCTGCTCTCACCTGTCCACCTCGTCTCGCGTCACGATGTCTCTCTTCTTCAGGGCTTTGATGGCGTACAGTTTCCCCGACTTCTTAAACTCTGCCAGCAGGACCTGAACAGACCAAAAAAACAAAAACCAGCTGAGGACAAAGTCAAGTTTTCATCGAGATCAAGAGAAAAACTTTGAGGCGTTACCTTCCCAAAGTGTCCCCGACCCAGAACTGAGATGTATTTAAAGTCCTCCATCTGCATCCTTCAGAGAAACACAAGAGGAGAACATAAAGGCCTCGTCTGATCTGAACTTGAACAGGATTTAGGAGGAATTGAAGTGTGTGTTTACTTCAGAGCAGAAACCGGCTGATCTTCACCTCCGTCTGAGCACTTCATGGACGACTGCAGACACAAAGGTCCAAGCATGAGGGCACGTCTTCTTTTATTGTTATCAAAGTTTCACTCAAAAAAATCAGCTTCCAAGTCAAAGAAAACCATCCAAAGCTCTAAATACAGTGGCTCAGTTCTCTCACCGTTGTTTCCTGCAGGTCAGGCTCAGATGACGTCGTGTTGTCGGTGGCGATAATGTTGGTGGTCTGGTCCTCGGTGTCGACCTGTGAGGCCTGGTCCTCGCTGAGGCTCAGTCTGATCACCGGAGCTTCACTGCACAACAAGGAGGAACCTTAGTCACTGAAATATTAAATGCAAACGTGATTATTCTGCAGGAAAATAATCGCCTGTGAGGGAGATGGCAGCATACGTGATATTATTAGAAAGTTACAACTGATGTGAGCAGCGTTTCATTGCTGATCCTCAAAATGATCACAAGATAAATCTGAGCAGTTGTGAGATGATGGTTGAATCCTGCACTGTTCAAAAAGTGTAAAAAATGCTGAAAATAACAGCAAATGCCTCTAAAATAATATTTTTTTAATGTGATTTAAGTACACTTTTTTTTCCCCCCTTTTTACTGTTTTTAAAAATATAGATATTCTCTAGTTGTTATCTGTAATTTAATAAAACAAGAAAAACCTATATAATAGTCGTAAATTGTTCATATTATTACAATTAAAAGCTGTGAAAGCTGTTCACATTTCACAGTGGGCTGTACGTGTGCTCTAGTAAACGTCTTTTAATGACAAAGACACACAATAGAGAAAAACTAATGTGTCCTAGAGTTCTATAAAGTGTTCAGTTATCCGTAAACTAATGTTTTGTCGTTAAATGAACAAACAGTGATGGTAACAGACGACAGCCTGTAGCTGGGTTCTGGGTTCTGGGTTCTGGATTTGGGTTCTGTGGGACCTTGGCAGTGTCGTGGTGCGTTCAGGCTCCTTCTCAGCTGGATTGGCGGCGCTGCTGTCCAGCGTCGTGGTCGGAGACGAGCTGAAAGTGGAGAAGGAGCTGTAGCGAGGGAGGATGCTCATCATCAGGTGACCCCAGGTGGCGAAGTTCATGTTCATCTGGGCGGCTCGGAGGAAGTTCTTCCCTACAAGTCAACCAGAGAAATGCAGAGATGATGTGAAAACATGAAATCAGAGGCACGTTTGTCAGCTCTGGACCCGTCCGTACCTCTCTCTTTAGTGAAGATGCATCGCTGGCGCCTCAGTTTGGGCTGACGCTCGACCACGGTGTCGAAGAACCGGAGCTGTGAAACACAGAACAGGTTCACTGTTTAAAGGAAGAGACAGAAATGTGAGAAACCAGCAAAAAAAAAAAAAAAAAAAAAAAGAGGCTCCATTGATGCCAGAAGAAATCAGTTCTAAAACAAACAAAAGAAAATAAGATTTACAAAAAAAAACAAAAAACAAAAACACAACTATTTTTTATTAATTAATTTAAATACCACCTTTAAAAATACAGAAATATCACGGAAGTAAAATACCCTGAATATATTAGAATTTGTATTAATGATTTTTTTTTAAAAAGTCTAAAATTGAACACGATGAAACCTTTTGTGGTTCAGTAAAGTTTTTATAAAATGTCTGTTAAAACTTGACAAAAGTCAGTCGTTGAACTGAGATGTTCACATGGATTATTTTTACATGTGAACTTAAAAAAAACATTTTAAACCAAAATGGTTTAAAGTGACATGAAAATCATCTGTATTTTTATAAATGCTAATTTGTTCTTTTACGATGTTTTACTATAATATTAATGTACAGCTGTATTTACATCTAAAAAAGAAAATATTTTCTATTATTTGAAAGAAAAATAATATGTATGGTGAGGATTAAAAAATATATTTTAAAATTCTTTCTTTCTTTCTTTCTTTTACAGATATTTTTGCTTTATTAATATCTTTTTGTTTTACTCATAGAAAAAAACATTAATTTACAGGTTAAGAAGAAAAAAATGGGCCCAAACTGTAAATAAAATCCACATTAAAAATCAAATTAATTAATCAATTAAACTATTTTCACAAATAGTTTTTTTAAATATGTGACTGTGAAATGACACTGTTTTGTTATATATAAAACAGCTAAAAATACATCATATTTACAGATATTTTTGCAGTTTAACAGTTTTTTTCGTAGATTTTTTTAAAACTTTGCATTCATGCATCATATGTTTGTATTAAACAGTAAACCTCCTGAGTCCTGTGATTAGTTTTACAGTAATTAATCGTTTTAGGTTAAATTATAGATAAAGATGCTACATTTCAGAACAAAAACACTGGATTTGCAAATATTTCAGAGTAGTTTCACAGGAACCTTTTCTCCTCACACTGATGAGACACAGAATTAAATCACTAATTAGTAGAAAACAGGATCCTTTCAGCAGTTATCAGTCGTTTCCCTCCCACACATCGGACCATGACACTCTGTGAGATGGTTTTTTCCAGCCTACCTTCGTGTAGAGGAGGCCCTGCGGCTCCAGACTGAAGCCCTGGTTCTGGTTCTGGTTCTCCATCATCTCCTCCAGTCGCAGGAACTTGACGGCGCACATCTCCCTCCGGTCCTTCCAGAACACGCCGACCTCCAGCTCTCTGGACTGTCGGTGGCAGAAACACAGTCAGAAGACACGAATGATGACCGAGAAACGTCGAACTGCATCAACATTTAACGCTGAACTTGCAAAACAGATTTTAAAAAATGCTTCTAACTGGTTTGCACCATCAGACAGACTTGATTTCCTGATTTCTTTCTCTGGTTTTAGCGTTTTTATTGAGTTTTAATATAAGAACAAATAGAAAAACTCAATAAAAAAACCTTAAAATCAGAGAAAGCATGCAGATAATTACATCATTAAATACCCTTAAACATCCACTGACACACCTAAACAGCTCAAGGTCTTGTCATAGATGACTGTCTGCAGGTATCAGAGCGACCTCTGCTGGTCAGACGCTGGACTACAACAACAATACTCAGCCTGGTTCACTGGTGCCACCACAAAGGCAGCAAATAAACAGATGAAACAGAAAAGAAAGCCAGTACAGCAGCTCCTCCTGCTGTTTGAACAGAGGTGGGAAAGGCCTCTGATATTTCACTTAATTTAAAGTAGAAACAGAACAACAGAAAGGCTGGTGTCAGGTGGAGCAGGACGGTCTGTTTAAAAGATTTTAGCGTAGAGGTCCAACTACCAGTAGCTGCTACAGCGACAGCAGAAAGACTCGTTTAGACTCTAAAAGCACGACTACATGCAAAGTCAATGTTTATATTTCTCTGTGAACTGCAGCAAAGTCGCATCTAACAAATCATTTGTTGCTCAACCAAGTTTGAAAGGCATGTTGTGTTTACGAATCACACCATTTATCAGAGCAGGGAACTGGAAAAACATCGTAAAATGTTCAACTTCTCAACAGTCCACCATGAAAAATGACCAAATTGAAGCTTAAACTGTGATAATTCAATAATATGATTTTGTGCTACCCATTTTATATTTTTTTAATATAATTCTATGCTCCTCGGTACAACTGATTCCCCATGACTGACTCAGCTGAGTTTTCAGTTGAACTGCAGGCAGTGTTTCCAAAGAGAGTCTGAGAGGAGAATCCAGCCTACTGGATGAATAAATAAATGCAGCATGGCTCAGAACCAGTGAACAGAGGAGCATGTTGTTGGAGATACATCCAGCTGATGGAGGAACATCTTTCTACAGCTGATGAGCAGAGCAGAGAGGAAAAGTCTGGAGACATGGAAATAGTTCAACATCATGTGGAGACGAAGCAACCAAAAGGAGTAAAACAAAAACAAAGACACAAGTGAGACATGAAACAACAAAAATGAGACACTGTGTGAACACTAACACACAAAACTGCCCCTGAGATGCATAAAAAGGACAGAAATGAGGCTCAAAATAAGAAAAAATGATCAAAACAAGACAAAAAACAAAGACAACAAAAAAGACTGAGAGGAAAATGAACATTTTTACAGATTTCTCCTGACAGAACACATTTCTAAGTTCCCTCTCCTTCTAGTCATGTTGTTGTGTTTCCACAGAGCTGCAGGACTTTATGTTGCAGTGAACAAATGATCCACGGTGAGTACAAACTCTCCCGTTCACAGGGTGACCACTTGTCCTACAGCTTTACTTGCTGGCCTCCCTTTGACTTTCCTCCCTGTGACTCTTGTGTCTGACCTCGGTGGGTATTTGCAGCGCTGCACGTGTCAGCAGGTACACTTTTACTACTGATGCCGTCTGCAGCTGCTCTGATGCCACCAACTCCTGCACATGAATCACAGGGTGAGAACACGCTGTCATCGGTCCCTGAACACCAGCCGCTCTGTAATTACATCCACCAGAGGAGTGTAAATACACAGGAGGCCTGTGTGGACGTGGGCGGTTTACATTAAGGTCAATCTGAGGGAGAGTTTTTTCTACGACCTGGTGTGTGTACTTGTGCAAGTGTCTGACTGGGCGGGTGCACAGGTACATCACAGCACAGGTGCATTAGAATTCTTTGTGTCATGCGTTTTAAGGTATTCAGATGCACTTTAAATCACAGTGTCATCAAATTCACTGACTGCAACCTGTTGATTTAAAGTTTACTTAAGCTCTGCATGCTCTGTTTGTTGTGTTGTTCTCATGTTAGCGTTCTCCACGTCCACGCCACACCTCATCGTGACTCTGGTCTTGCTTTACTTTAACCCTTACAGACATGTTTCAGGCCAAATTTGACCCATTTTGACATTTGAAAGCAATAAAAATACTCTAAACGTCTTTTAGTCTGAAATTTTGGGATTTTTTCTCATTTGTGAGTTTTTCTTTTAGATTTATGATGTTAATCTTTTTTTAAAAATAAATTTGTGATTTTTTTTCTCGTAAATTTACGACTTTACTCTCAGAGAATATTTGTAGTTTACTTTAGTAATTTTCATTTTTTTCTAGAAAAAAAAAATTAATAATCTCAGAGAATATTTGTCGTTTACTTCAGTAAATTTCAGAGTTTTTTCTAATAAATTTATTACGTTAATCTAAAAGAATGTCTGTAATTTACTTTAGTAAATTTGTGAGTTTTTTTCTTGTAAACTTGTAACATTAATCCCAGAGAATATTTGTAGTTTCCTCCAGTAATTTTCTGGTTTTTCCTAGAAAAAAAAATTATTAATCTCAGAATATTTGTCGTTTATTTCAGTAAATTAGTGAGTTTTTCATGTAAGTTATTGACTTTAATCTAAGATAACAGAGGGGTTTTTTGCCACCAAAGCAGATGATCAGAACCACTTATTATATTTGAAGGATGTAAACAAAGACGAGAACAATCACATTTCTCTCCTCTTCGTGTCCACACCACAAGCTCAGTACGTTTAGAAGCAGTGAGGACTGTCGACTGACCCGCTCCAGCTGGATGTAGAAGGTCTGGTCCCAGTTCAGGCTGCTGACGGAGGCCCAGCCCGTCCGTCCGACCGGCCGTCCGTCCAGCCGCAGCGCCGCACCGACCTCGTCTGCAGAACCACAGCAAACATGTGATCAACAACAACAGCTTGAATCAGTTTAACATCCGTCTGGAAGACCCAGCAGAGCACCAAGCAACGACCAAACCTCCAAACCTGCAACCATACAACGATGCTTTAATGTGATTTATTTTAAGACAACAGCAGGCAAACGTTCAGCAAACGATCGATTGAATCTGATAAACATAATGTCAGAAAATGCACCAAGCACACAGACGGCAGCAGATCAACCTTCAGCTCAACATGACAGACTCTGGAATAAAACTCAATGTTCATGTGAGTCACAGTTGAACATTATGACGGGTCATTATGGGTGAAAAATAGATAAATGTACGAAGTCGGAGGAGGAAATGTTTCAGAAGAAGTTGTACATTTACGAGGAAAAATACTTGAAAATTCTCAGAGATTATGAAGTTTTTAAAGAGACAGATGAAGCAGAGAAAGACAGAACATGACTGGATGAAATCTACATGTTTTTAACTCACATATTCAGTTTTTTCTCATGAATTTATCTCTTTAATCTCAGAAAGTCTGATCATGTGTTTCTTTTAAATTAGTGATTTTTTTCATCTATGTTTATTAATTTAACCTTAGACAACATCCATGTTCCTTTTGTAAATTATTGACTTCAATCTTACACATTTTTATTCCCACAAAAAAAAATAAAATCACTGTAATTTTGGATTGTTTTTCCTCATAAATTTGTGATTTTAATATCAGAGAATTCATCTTTTATGTTTTCAAATGTATGACTTCATAACTGCAGAGAATATTTGAATTGTTTTTCTTTTATTATTGTAGTTATCAGTATTTTATTGTATAAAACAGGAAATACATCACTTTGTATAAAAACATTTGACTTGTTCACTGGAACAACAACATTTCTGTGATCTTTTTTATTTAAATATTTCTTCTTCTTCTTTATATTTGACTTTTTTTCTTTGGGATTATTTTTTTCCCATAAATGTAAAAAATAATTCTTTAAATATATCTCAGAAATATTCTCTTTAATCTGAAGGAATATCTGAGCTTTTTCTTATAAAATTTGGACTTTATAATATCAGAAGATTTGCAGTTTAGTCTCATAAATTTGTGAGTTTAATCTCAGAGATTTTTTTTTTTTTCCAAATGTATGACTTTGTAATTGCAGAGAATATTTGACTCCCTGTAAATTTGGGATCTTGATCATCATTCCCCATAAATTTACCAAATGATTCTTAAAAATATCTGAAAATGTTAATATTTTTTCCACCTTTAATCTCAAGGAATATCTGAGCTTTTTTCTTATATATTTTAGACTTTATAATCTCAGAAGCTTTGCAGTTTAGTCTCTTAAATTTGTGAGTTTTTCCTCTAGAATTTATGACTTTAATCTCAGAGAACATCCAGGTTTCTCTTACAAATTAAAGACTTTGAAATGGCGGAGAATATCTGAGTTTAATGTAAATTTATTAGTTGTTTTTTTTTTGTTTGTTTTTTATAAATCCACTTCTATAATCTCAGAGAGGTTTTTTTCTCATAAACTGATCATTTTAATTTTGGAAATTTTGAGTTTTCTCTGAAGATATTAGCCCTTGCTTCATTTTAAATTATTATTTATTTATTTTTTAATTAACTGAATATTTTCTTTCTGTAGCTACAACGCCTCTAACAGGTTGTCAAAGTAAATTTATTCAAACAAAACCACAAAATAACCTGATTTAAACTCTGAAAACTGAAACTAAATCAGCTTTAATTTAGGATTATTTAATGAAACTTAATAAAAGGTTTTTACAGCCCTGTGGACACGTTTGTAATTTACTCACATTCACCGTCATCACTGTTTGCATTTTTGTCCTTCATTGTTTGATAAACTGAACCTTTCTTTGGTGACATTTTACAGATTCAGAATTTCTGCACGATAATTCCTGATAATTTACAAGATTAAGTGAAAATCTATCAAGTAAAGCAGCTAAATTAACCCAAATTATTAAAACTACAAACCTGTCAAATGAAGTGTTTTTCTACTCTTTTGGCTGCTGCTTGAATTCAGATGTGAATAAAACGGAAACACAGCTTAGAAACAAGCTGAATTATTTGCGAAATGTTGAAATATGAAGAAAGATATGATGCACATATGCAAAAACAAAGCAACTCACTGGAAGGTCCGTCCGTCTTCTGAGCAGCAGGACTCGAGTCTGTCGGAGGTTTCAGTAAATCCTCACATCCCAGCAGCTTCACTTCAAGTTTGCCTGAAAGAAAATGACAAAGAGAATTTAATTCAGACGCAAAAACAAACAAACAAGAAAGAGCGTCTCAGGATTCAGCCCTGCAGTGTGTAAATAGAGCTGGTGTTTCAGAGGCTGGTAATAAATCTCTAGAATAAAAAAAAATAAAAAGCTCCCTTTGAAAACGAAACCTTTCATTTGCAGCATAAATCTCCTCGAGTCCAACCTCTAATCAGCCCGTCCTCTGCTCAGAATCCCCTCCAGAGGTTCCTCCTTCGCTCTGAGAGCAGCTCCAGGATTTGTCTCCTCGTTACATCACCGCCAGGCTTTTCCCCCCAACATTTATTTATTTATTTGTTTGTTTGTTTATGTTTTTTTTTTTTTTTTTTTAGTGCCTCGTGTGGGGAGAGACCGGCTTACAAGAGAACCGTCCAAAAAGCAGCAGATTACATGCGGCGATTATCCAGAGCCGAGGAGGGGTCAGCGGACGGCAAACCGACCAGAACGCTGAGGAGGAGTTTCAGACGTTAGACGGAAAATAAACCAACAAACATCAACACAGGAGGATGAGGGGTTTAGAAAAGTACCAAAGTGCTGCTTAAAACGTGCTCTCTGGCTGATATTTTACCTCAAAATGCTGCATTTTTCTGAGCTAAAAGGTCATTTACAGCATGTTTACTGACTTAGACGAAGCTGTTGGGATGCAAACACAATAATGTTGCATCAACTTTATGTTCTATGTGATTTAAACTCACATTATTTCAGAGTTAGTTGATTTAAAACGAAATTCAAACTGAGGTGACTTCATGAAATTAGCTTGATAATTAAATTATTCACCTTGAGGTCAGAATTTCAGCAGTTTAACTTCACAATAAAGCAAGTTCATTCTTAAAATGTGCAAATTTAAAGTTAACTAGTCAATAATGATGCTAATTAAGTGCAAAACGCTTTAAAAATCCTTTAAAACAATAATGAAAGACAACTTGAAACTACTTCATTTTTGAGTATTGAACTTAAAAACATGTTTGATTGTTGGAAGATCTCATTCCTTTAACTCAATATAGTTTGTTGGTTGAACACAGTTTTATCAGAAGTTGTCCAAACTCTAGAACACTGATGCAAACTCTACAGGTACTTTTTGTTGTTGTTGTTTTTTGTACCCAAACAGTTTCCGATCAGATAGATATTAAGAAATATGTTGTTGCATCCTCTCAGAGTTCACTTATAGTTTATTTAGGACACAAATCTAAGCTCTGTAGAAGTATTTTTGGCTGAATTTGGAGAATTTTCACGTTTTTATTGTTCATTTCACCCTCAGAAACCAGTAACGCCATTCCTGGGGTTCAGTATCTCCAGAAGTTATGCATTTTGGCATGAAACCATCCAAATTGACTCTAATTTGCCCTAAAATGATGCAAAATCAACTAGATTCATCAAAGATTTGTTTAAAATAAGATAAAGACTGTCCAGAACGACCCAAAATTGACAAGAATGACTCTTTACTGGCCCTTAAAAATGGAAAAACATGCAACATTTTCAAACAAAGGTGGTATTGTGTCACCCTAAAGCTCCTGTCAGTGTCTATCTATGGTTGGATCCATGTTTCTATTAAAATACAGTCTTTGGTTGACATGTCACCAACTGTTGAGGCTCTAACATCAGTAGAATCTGATGTGTGGAAAGGCAAGGCTCCAGTTTTTAGATATTTTGGCATCAAACCGTCCAAGACGACTCATAGTTTGTCAAAGATGACGCAGAATCCTCCAAATTCACCAAAGATTTGTTCAAAATAATAACGATTATCCAAAATTAATCATGGTTCAGTATCTTCAGATATGATGTATTTTGGCATGAAACCGTCCAAGATGACTCATTAATGACTCATTATTTGGCCAAAATGACACAGAATTGACAAGACTGATTATCTATTGGCCCTTAAAAATGGGATAAAGTCAAACAAACAAGGCTGGTATTGTGTCCCCATACAGTGAATGTAAGTATATATCTATGGATGGATCCATGTTTCTACTAAAATACAGTCTTTGGTCACATTTGACCAACTGTTGAAGCTCTAACATCAGGAGAATCTGATGTGTGGTAATAATGGCAAGAAAAGGTTCCAGTTTTTTTTTGTATTTTGGCATGAAACTGTCCAAGATGACTCAGAATCTGTCCAAAATGATGCGTAATCGTCCAAATGTACCAAAGATTTGTTCAAAATAAGATAAGGATTTTTCCAAAATGACCCAAAATTGACAAGAATGAATATTCACTGACCCTACACGAACAAAAGGTCACAGTTGTTGGTTTTCTTGGTTTTTTTTTTACTAATTTGACAAATGGTAAAGCCAATATCCATCATTTGGGCGATTTTTGAGTCATTTTGGACAACAGTTTGGTTATTCTGAACTGATTTCATGTCATTTTAAATCATTTTTGAGGTGTGTTGAACAATCTTTGTGACATTTAGGAGAAATCTGAAGTTATCTGGACCAATCTTTAATAAGTGGTCCTTGAAAACGGAAGAGGATGCAACATTTTCCAACAACGGTGGTATTATGGCCCCAGGAAGTTCCTGTCAGTGTAAATATATGGATGGATCCATGTTTCTACTAACATACAGTCTTTTGTCGACATTTGACCAACTGTTGAGGCTCTAACATCAGTACAGGTTCCAGTTTTTTGCTGTTTGGAAGAAATTATGATACATCCCATAATATTGATGCACAAAGTTAGAAAAAATGAACAGAAACCAGATCCAGTGTTCAGACTGTGACACCTGACTGGATGTAAAACTGATCTGGTGTCAGCTTTTAACTCAGATACATCCTAACATGTCATGAGTCTGTCAGCTGCACAAATGAAGTTCTGAGGCTCAGAAATGATGGAAAAAAAGTACTTTGGGAGCCTGTAACTCTAAAAGTATTGATAGTCTGAAGGTAAAACTCTGCATAAACACACTAAAGTTACTGCAGATAATAAATCAGTTGATTCTGAGAAGCTCAGGTTGGAACTTTTTTCTAGATTTGGTTGATTTTATACATTTAAAACCAGCTTTTAACATCAAACCAGCAGCGTGTGTGTTCGTACCGGTTAAAGACGCCGGTCTGATGGAGTAGATAGACGCCGAGCTGGACATCGGAGGACCGGTTCTGGGGTTCTGGGGGTCCGGCTGCCCCTCCGAGGCCTCGTCGCCCCCTGCAGGCGGCTGCGGAGCCTCGCGGTTCTTCTCCTCCAGACATTTCTCCAGCGACAGCCGCAGAAGATGCAGCTTCTGGGAGGAATCGTGCAGCCGCGACTGAGCCTGAGAGACAAACACTCTCATCATGTTGAGTTCTGGGATCCAGACTTCCACAATAAAACAGTTTCCAGACGTAGAGCCCAAAGAGGTTTGATGGTTGTTGCTTTTCAGAGACCTTTGAATAGCATCAGAATATCTGCAGTTTGAGCTCATTATTGTGGAAGTTTTTCACTTTAACACTTTAACCTCAGAAATTGGATGTTTTTCTCACAAATGTACGACTTTATTATCTCTGAGAATATAAAGTCGTACATTTGTGAGAAAAACATTTTCCTCCTAAATCTGTGAAATTTTAAATATTCTCTCTTTTTTTTCTAAATTTGTGAATTATTTCTCATAATTTACCACTTTAATCTCAGAGAATATCTGTGTTTTTACTCATAAATGTGTGACTTTAATCTCAGAAAATGTGTTTTTCTCGCAAATTCATGACTTTAGAAAAATTTGCTGTCGACTCTTTTAAATTTGAGGTTTTTTTTAGTATTTATGTCAAACATTTCTGCCCTAAATCTGTGACGTTGAAATCCCAAAATATTCTCTTTTTCTTTTCTATGGTTGTGAGCTGTTTCTTATAATTTGCCTCTTTGATCTCAGATAATCTCTGTGTTGTTCCTCATTCATTAAGCTGCACATTAAACTCAGCTTTCTGGATCCTCTGAAGTATAAATGATCTTTATTTACTTCATTCAGCGCCTTCTGGTCCAGCGAGGAGATTCCCTCCAGCTGCTTCACCACGTCTTTGGCCCGAACCAAAGCGTCCGTTTCTCTCTGGATGAAGTGTTGCAGCTCCGCCAGGCGAGCGTCCACCGGACTGACGGCCGGCGGCGACACTCCTGGATGGAGAGGACGGACAGAGGTGGTTTCAGTGCAAAGGAGTTCATCTGGATGCTCACAAAGAGCCTCATCATTATATAAAATAAACAACTAAAGAAAGAAATTTCAAAAATGTAAAAAAAAAAAAACAACAAAACATGCTGGAAAAATTTCTTTTTAATTAATTGGTGGATTTAAATACAGAAAAAAAAGCTTTTTTTTAAAGCTTCTTTTTTTTTTTTTTTTCTTTTAAAAAAAGGGAAGTACTATTAATGGAAAAATCTGGCAGCAAGAGTGTCAAAAAAATATGTGGAAAAAATGCTGGAATAGTGTTATGTTCAAAAACTGTTTAAAAATATAAAAATAAAAATTATAAATAAATAAATAAATAAAAATAATAATGATATTTTTTGTAGACTTTACAGTCAAATATTGGAAAAGAAAATAGAAAAATATGAAGAAATAAAAATAAATCAGATTCAACATGTAAATTAACATCAAATTTTTCTGTGATTTCACAAGATATTATCTGTAAATTAACAATTTAGGGAAAATCTGTAAAATAACAGCACATATTGTAAAAAAATTAGATTTTGAAGGGATTTTTTCCCCCTTTTTTAAAAAACAGTTTTTAGTGTCTTATATGCATTATTTTTCTTTCAACTACCAGCAAATATCTATGACATAATGATGGATTTAAAAACAGTAAAATAGTAAATAAATAAATAAATAAATAAATAAAATTGTCCTCACACATAAAACAAGAAATTCAGAAAAAAAATCATAAATAAAATAAAATAAAATAAAATAAAATAAAATAAAATGCTGATTTTTGATGTGGACACAATATTCAGTTTAACATGTGAATTCATTTAGTAAAAACAAATGTAATGCTTAATATACATACTTCTCTTTCAAATAACAGCCAATATCTGTGAAATACTAATGTGTATGTGGATTTAAAAAGCAGTTAAATAGAAGAATTTTATCCTCACACATGGCAAAACAAGAAATTCTATTTTAAAAAATGAATTTAAAAAAATCCAGATTTTTGATGTGGACATGATGTTAAGTTTTAGCTTCACTGTCTAACATGTAAATTAATAACGTAAAAAATTATTTACCTTTTTTTTTTTTTTTAACAATTTCCCTGAGGTTTTAGACCGAGGGGATCAAAAAAATTTTATTCTATTCTATTCTATAACATCAAACATTTTCATCCATTTAATTTCCCTGCTTTGTGTTTTGAATGAATATTTGCTCTATTTTCTCAGTAAAGCTGCCTTTGGTGGACTCTTGGACACACTGACTGTGAGTTAAAGGGATGTTTACCAAGACATTATCAGGAATCAATGAGAGGAAACGAGGTCAGGGGTCAGAGGATCGAGGTGTCCGATAACTAACTCTCATGTTTCATGTGCCGGGAATCACTTCGGAAGTGTTAGTTTCAGGTTTTACAACAGAAGTTTAAAATAAAATGCTTAAATATGGATATTATATATTCTAATGATGAAAAATGTTTAATTTATTACCATATTTTAAACTGTTATTGTATGACAGCCTATCTTGTATGTATTTTACATGTTTATATTTAGAATATTTCAGTATTCACCATTCAACCAACTTACTTTTTACGCAGAAAAACAATAAGTTATGATCAAAAACTGAAGAACATTGACCACTCATGCACTAAAATGATCATTCTTTCAGAGGAAAACTCTTATTTCATAACAGCTACGATAACAGCACCTGGTTTACGCAACTCAGCTTCAAGTCTGAGACCCTAAAACTGTAGATGTGCACAAGTTTAGCAACAAATGTGATATTTAGAGTAAAACACGGGTCCTATGTTTGAGCTTAAACCTTTATTAAAACTAAAATAATACATTTTGTCGATCTTTAAAGCAGATCGTCTTCAAACAAATGGAAGCTCCAGTTAAACTTAATCCTATGTTAAAGTGCAGAATTTAAAATAATCACATTTCAGATGGAATAAAAGAGAAAAATATGTTTGCAGAGAGAAAGTTTAAACAGCTACAGGTATAACAGTCAGAGTTCTCTCCTCTAATGAGTAGTTTTTATGCAGCAAAGTTTATTGGAATTATACATATTGTGTAGTGTTGCTGCTTTTAAGTCCTTTAAAGAATGTAGTAAATATAAAGATACTGGAAGCAATCGACATCTTTACGTTCTCGTTTTTGCATTAAACTACAGACTAGTTGCTGCTTTGATGGCGTTTCACCTGCTGACATGTTTTAAATCCGTCACACAGCTGATGTTCAACTTGTCTTTATACAATATCTGCCAAGAATTATGACTAATTGTCCCCAAATCGCTCTCCAGCAGCCACCAAACAGAGTCTGAGGGCTGCAGCAGGAGCCTCCTTCAGGCTAATTCAGACACTAATCCGTTCCCGTGACCCTCCGGGGGTCTCGGTGTCCGGGCCTCTGACCTCCGTGGCCGGAGCCGTGCTGCTCTCCGTCGCTGCTGCTTCCCGCCTGCGCCGCCTTGATAATCTGCAGTCGGATCAGCTCGATCTTGGAGCGGCTGTCCTGCAGCATCTGCTGAGCCGTGGACAACATCTGATCCTGATAACGACATCACATCAGCAGACAACAAGGCTCGCTTCGTCGCATTCACACGCTGCAACGCCGGCTGGAGGCAGACACAGTTTAACATGGCATGCACTGGAGAACATAGACACACTGGAATCAATAAATGCTCTTGTTCCTGCAGCTGCCTCTCCACAAATACTGGAAACAACATCTCATTAAAAACAGACATTTTTCATAATTAAAAATACATTTTCTAGCATTAGTTTCTAATTAGAACATGTGTGTTTTTTGTCTTTTTAATATTTAATGGAGGATATTTACATAGATTGAACTGTATTCCAACAGATGACCAAAGCTTGTAGATATTATACACACATGAAGTTCAACATTTTGTTGTGCAACTTCTGACATATGTGTCTCTGTATCTTACATTTAATAAATATTTAATACATTTTCATCTAATGAATAAAAAGGCAACATTTGTGCAAATACTGTGAATTTACATGTGCTTTTAACATTCTATTTATGTTTTTTTTTTTAAAGTAAAAACCATTAATTTTTTTTCACAGTTACAAGTTTATAACATTATTGTAATTTTATGTTAGACATAAAAATTCAAGGTCAATTTTTGTGATTTTATTTGTAGTTTGTGTATTTCAAAAATACAGGGGAAAAAATTAAAAATAAAAAGGGAATTTTTGTGAAATTTTACTTACATATCTGAGTTTTTATTATTGTTTAAATGTTTCATCTGTTGAATAAAAAGCAATGCTTGTGTTATTATCATACATTTGGAAACGTATTTCAGCATTTTTTTATGTAAAAAAAGTTAGTTACAATACTTATATTCTTGTGTATTTAAAAAAAATAAAACAAATGTAAATAAAACATTTGTAAAATTATGATATGTTTGTGAATTTATTATAACCACGTTATAACTATCTTATAACGTGCATTTTTAAAAAAGGGGGAAATTAAATCATAATTGACAGTTACAGGTATTTAATGTCATTATTTTAACAGACTTTTTGTGTTATTTTCTATTTAAAATTTAAAAAAAAAAAACATTTTTTTGTCACTTAAAGTTACGGGTTTTAAAGGCATTTTACAGCGGACAAGACAAATCTTTAATTTTGGGGGATATTTTATCTATTTCAAAAATACTGAAAAAAGATGTGTAAAATAACTAGAAAATATTTATATTTAAAAAATACAGTCAGTTTGCAAATTATTTTAAGAGACTTTTGGGGTCATTTGGGGTCATTTGCATTTTTTTTTTTTTTTTAAAATAACATTTTATGGCTGTTTGCAAGTATTTAATGTTATATTACAGCAAACGTAAAAAAACAGAAAATTCAGTAAATTAAAATAGAAATATTTTTGAAATTGTGCTAAATCTGTATGATAAAATTTTACATGTTTTAAGTTTGGGGTTTTTTTTGTTAAACTTTAAAATTGCAATGAATTCTGCAAATGTATTTTAAGGTTTTTATGTCAAAATATATTTTTCTTTATATTCCAGTTAATCACAGTTCGAGGTTTTTAATGTTATGTCACATTAAACATGTAAATTCAGTGTATTTTTTTGTCATTTTGTTGATCTTTTTCCTGTGTTCCATCAGTCCAGAGAAGCCTGATCACTAAAGAGGAGCCTTCCTGTCAGCTTGCTCCTCTCCAGGATGGAGCAGCAGCTGTAGTGCTGCATGCACAACTTGTCTCCGCGTCAAATAAACAAACCCGAGTGGTCGGCAGCGGGTTCAACACTATGACTGTGCACTTCACTCACCTCGGGCTGAATCTTGGCTCTGGATCAGGACTAATCCGTCATCCTCTGTGGAGGTGGAGGGAACACTTGCGCTGCTCCTCCACCTTCACTCTCCTTGAAACACAACAAGTCCGGATGTCCTCAAAGTGCCTGGTGCAGCCGCTACATCCTGAGACGTGGATCACACGGAGCGTCCCGCCGCCGGTTTCTGCCTCCCTGCGGCTTCCTCTGCAGCGTCCCGGAGCATCCTCATCCTCTGAAACCGAATCCCTCTGCCTCCCCCGTCTCCGTCAGGGTTTCAGTGTGCAGAGGGATGTGCGGGTCCTCCTCGCTGCTGCTGCTGCTGCTGCTGCTGCTCTCCAGTCCTGTCTCCAGCTCGGAGCTCGGCATTGGACGCTGCATGACCACATGTTCCTGCTCCGCCACCAACCACAAGACAAACACTGAGATGCTGCTGCTGCTGCTCAGGACACAGCAGCATCCAGCCTGCAGTGTTTGGGGGGAAATGTTCCTCCTGGTCTATTAAGAAGAGGATCAATAGCAACAAAACAGCAGCCAGACTGGAGCTTATGGAGGTGCTGTGTCACAAACAGATTTAATCAGCTGATCAAAAATGCAAGCAGCCATGGTTTTCAGTCAAGCAGCAGATCTCCTTCACAGCACTTCAGAAGCACTTCCAGAGCTGGTCCTTGTTAAATCCTGGTAGCAGCAAGAGTGGGAGGTTTGTTAGAGTTAGAAGCTTGTTCAGAAAGAACAAGGACAAAGTGGCGCCTCCACAAAGAGACAGACAGGATATGTGCTGGGGTCACACAAAGTCACGCCTGACTAACAGGAGTGCTCCACCATGAAAAACACTCTGCAACAAAAAGTCAAAAGATGTCCAAAAAAATGTTCAAAAACCGTGGAAATAACAGGAAAATATCTGTAGATCGTTTAAAAACAGTAGAACTGTAATTTTAGGGTCACACAGTGTAAAAAGACAAACTAGTATTTATAAAAACAGAGATTTTTAATGTGGACATTATTCACAGTTTTGCTCTTTTTTAATTCAATTCTTTTTTTTTTTTTAAAGAAATTAATGTGAATTAAACAAAACAGGAACAGTCTGCAAAATAACAGGTTAAAACATGTTCTTTCAAAAAACTAAACATTTCTATAAAATATTATTTCTATGGTTAATATTTTAGAAAGTATGATTTTACAGTCAAATGTTGTCAAACGACAAACGACCTTTTTCTAAAACGGATTTGTGGTGTTCGGTTTTGGCCTAATTATTAGGATTATCGACAAAACGCTCAAGTATTTATCATTTTATACGTTTATTTCACACAATACTTGTTTAATAAACAAGTTATTTCACTGAAAATTGTACTTTCTGTTCACGCTTCAAGGATTCGTTCCACTCAAATTACACTTTCTAACAAACAAGTCACAGTGTTAAAGGTTTATTTAACACAAAATACGACTGTTTGTCTAAATACTTCACTTATTCTGCTAACATTACAGTTTCTAAACAATAAGTTGAAGGTTTAAAGGTTAAATCCATCCAAGATGCACGTTGTGCCAAAGAACACATGGTTTTTACTTTACTTTTTGTCCACCGCTTATAGTTTCAAAGGTTTATTCCACCTAACATACTACTGTCTGTTCAAGTACATATATTTTTAAAAATAAACGGTATTTTATAACTAGTAAGTTAGGAGTTTATAGGTTTATTCCACATAAATAGTATTCTCTGTCCAAGTACTTGTAGTTTTAACGGTTATTCCATTAAAATATTACTTTCTAACTCACAAGTTCAATATTTATTTTGGCCAAAATACTATTCTCTGTTCAAGCATGTGTCCTTTAACAGGCTTCTTCTACCTAAGTAGTGGTTAGTATGGGTTTAAAGGCCCATTTCACCCAAAAATAAGACTTTCTGTTGTAGTATGCATACTTTTTAAAGGTTTCTTCCACCTGAAGAGTTCTTTCTAACTTTACAGTAAAGGGTTTGAAGGTTTATTCCACCTAAAATACTACTTTCTATCCAAGTAATTATAGTTTTAAGAATAAACAGTACTTTATAAGTAGTAAGTTAGGCGTTTATAGGTTTATTCCACATAAATAGCATTCTCTGTCCAAGTACTTGTAGTTTTAACGGTTATTCCATTAAAATATTACTTTCTAACTCACAAGTTAAAGATTTATTTTGCACAAAATACCATTCTCTGTTCAAGTATGTGTGCTTTAACAGGCTAATTCCAACAAAACAGTACTTTCTAATGAACAAGTTCTGGCCTTCAAGGCTTATTCCACCCAAATATTACTTTCTGAGGAGCAAGTTATGGTTTTGAAGGTTTATTCCATCAAAAATATCACTTTCTGTTCAACGTCTTACAGTTTTAAAGGTTTGTTTTTTACCAGCCATAATACTACTTACTGTCCAAGTACTTTGACTTTAAATGGTTTATTCTAGCACACAAATCATGATTTTAAAGGTTTCTTCCACCAAAATAGTACTAATATCAAAGTGTTTATGGTTGTAAAGGTTTATTCTGCCCACATTGCAGTTGTTAATTAAGAAGTTAAGGGTTGAAAGGTTTATTCCACCTAAGATACGACCTTCTTTCAAAGTACTTGTGATTTTAACGGTTTATTCCACCTAAAATATTACATTCAACTGTCTGAATTATGGATTTAAAGGTTAATTCCACCCAAAATATTACTTCATTTACAGTTCTAAAGGTTTTTTTTCTAGCCATGTTACTATTTTCTCTCCAAATACTTTGGATTTTAAAGGTTTATTGCACTCAAATGGTACTTTCTAACTTACACGTCATTGGTTTGAAGGTTTGTTCTGCCCAAAAGCTACTTTATGTCCAAGTGCTTGTAGCTTAAAGGTTTATTCTGCCCAAATTGTAGTTTCTAACTGATAGGTTAGGGGTTTAAAGGATTATTTCGTCAAAGATCATACTTTCTAGCACATGGATAATTATTTTAAAGGTCTATTCCATCCAAGATACCACTATCTGCCCAATTGCTTATGATTTTAAAGGTTTATTCCACCTAAACAATGCTTTCTAACTGACAATGGATGGGTTTAAAGATTCACCCTGGCCAAAATAGTACTTTCTAGCAAACAAATTATGATTTTAAAGGTTTATTCTATCCAAGAAACTACTTTCTGATGAAGTACTTGTGAGTTTAAAGGTTTATTCCACTTAAATGATACTTTGTTACCGACAAGGGATGAGTTTAAAGATTTATTCTGGCCAAAATAGTACTTTATAGCAAATGAATAATTATTTTAATGATTTATTTCACTCAAGATACAACTTTCTGATAAAGTACTTGTGATTTCAAAGGCTTATTCCACCTAAATAATCCTTTTTGTTCAACGGGCTATGGGTGTTGAGATTTATTTCATTAAGTATAGTACTTTCTAGCAAACAAATTATGATCTTAAAGGTTTATTCCACCTAAATAAAACTTTCTAACCAACAACGGATGCGTTTAAAAGTGTATTCTGGTCAAAACAATACTTTCTAGCAAATGTATAACTATTTTAAAGGTTTATTCCATCCAAGATACTACTTTCTGCCCAACTGTTGATGATTTTAAAGGTTTATTCCACCTAAACAATACTTTCTAACTGACAAGGGATGGGTTTAAAGATTCATTCTGGGCAAAACAGTATTTCTAGCAAATTAATAATAATTTTCAATTATTATTATTTTAAAGTATCTCTTATCTTACTTTAAAGGTCCATTTTGCGCAAGATACTACTTCTGATAAAGTACCTATGATTTTATTTATTTATTATTATTTATTTATTTATTGTTGTTTTTAATTGTTTATTCTGTTCTTATTGGCTTGTTTTATTTATCTTTAATGTATCGTCTTTTTCGGGGGATTGAACAGAGTAAGAATTTCATTGTGTAGTACAACTACCTGTTTTGCTGTGCATATGACAATAAAACTCTTGAATCTTGAATCTTGAATCTTTAGAAGTTTATTCCACCTAAATAATACTTTCTAGCACATGAATAACTATTTTGAAATTATTGAATTATTTTAAAGGTCTTCTTTTTTTTTTTTTTAACCAAAGATCCTACTTTCTGGTAAAAGTACTTGTAATTTTAAAGTTTTAATCCACCTAAAACACAACTTCTTTTTTTTTTCAAAATACTCACATTTTAGCTGTTTATTGGGCCCAAACAGTGCTTTATAAATGCTAGGTGGTGTTTTTTTTATGTAATAACAATCGTCTAATAACAGTTAATAAAACTTGAAAAAGTGTGTACTGGGATGAGCAGCACCGCAGCGAGGCTCCGACATCAACTGTCGCTCAGCATCTCTTTTTTTTTTTTTCTTTTTTTTTTTAAGTGCGCAAGTGCGAGTCGGTCCAGCTTGAACGTTTGGCCTCCTCGGAGCGATCCTAAAATTCCACCGCCGTTCGCCCCACGACCGCTCCTGTGTGCGTTATAAGTGACAATTGGAGGTTCGGTTCGTCCCGGGTGCAATTCCGAGCCGCGGGACGCCGTTAAATCGGTAAAACGGAGCGCGGCAGTGAGACCTACTTTGAGAGGCGGAGCTCGCCGCGGCTCCACTCGGCGAGGCGCGTTCGTAATGAAAAGAGCGCGTGAGCGGCGCTCGGCGGTGACTTCCTCGCTCCTCGGCAGCTACATTGTTGGAGAAGCAGCACGTTGTTGGCTTCTGCACGCTGAACTTTACGCCGAACCACCGTTCTCCTGCCCGGGGAGAAACCGCATCCACCGCCACCAGCTACACCCTCGGACGTCCGTGAGTTACCCCAGCTTGCGATAACATGTCGGCCTCGGCGGCAAAAGTGAGTAAAAAGGAGCTGAACTCGAACCATGACGGAGCGGACGAGACCTCCGGTAAGGGGAATGGCGGCCTCCCGTTCACCGCCATTTTCACTTTCTTCTCTAACATAATTTGCATTGCAACTGGGTGCTTTATTTTTTGTTAATTAGTGAGTGTGCTGCTTCGATTCGAGCAGCTTATGCGCGGTTTTCACATTTCGCTAACGGCGGCTAGCCCCGCCAGCGTTTCTTAGCACGCCGCCGCCGCTGCCTTCTGTTGTTCAGCGCAGACCGGTGCTCAGAGGCCATGTTAGCTGCTTAATTTAGCATCGTCAGCGTGGCCAGTTATGTCGATGGCTGCTAACCGAGTGGCCGTGCGTGATGCTGGGGCCTCATTGTTACGAGATTTGCTGCGAAATCGCACCAAATCGCCCATTTCGTGTCCACATGTGGGTTTTGGTGCTTTATCGCCCGCTAGGTTGAGCGTTTCATTCGAGCGTTAGCCGTTAGCTTGCTAGTGTTGTTGTTGTAGTGTTACCTAACGCTAGCTGACGACGTTGTGTTTTGTTGCCGCACAAGATGCATTTAAATCCGGCGGATCCGCCAAATCTGAATTGTGATGTTTAGACGTGGAGGGGGGTTTAGCGGTGCGAGCAGGCGGCGGTTTTGACGGTCACCGGGTCCGTCCTGGCAGCCGTCCCTAGCCCGGTGTCTCACGTTATCGCGGCTCTGTGTGTGCAGTCAGATGTCCCACATTTAAACCACGCGGCCTTGTAGGTAGCAGCCGGCAGGAAACGGTGAGTGTCTGAGCCGCGAGAGCTGCAGCTATTGGCCGCTTACATTACCCTAACCTCCGGGGGAGTACGGATTTAAATCTGGCACGTAACCCTCCAAACACCGCTATTTATTCTATTCTATTTTATTTAAAAAAAAAAACAAAAAAAAAACGATAACAGCTGTAAACATAATTCACTCGGGCCTCCGTAGTTTCCAAAAATGCACTAAACTTAGCTGCAGGTTTAAAAAATGAACTTTGAGTTATAGCAAATTTCTAGTGAGCACGTGTTTTTCCCCCCCTCGCAACAAAAAGTCTCCTCAGACATCAGTTAAATTAGATTTAGTAGTGTTTGCACCCAGTTTAGATTATTAATGTATGCATGTATTACGTCCTGCTTCCTTTTTAACACATTTTCATCGTTTTTTCTCCCAACAGAGAAAGAGCAGCAAGAAGCTATTGAACACATTGATGAAGTTCAAAATGAAATTGACAGGTAATGTGATTATTTTTCATTGTCTCTTACTCTGGTGATTGTTTTCTGGATTAGTTTGGTCTATTAAATGTTAGATATTAGTGGAAAAAACATCAGCGGTAGTGAATAATTTAATACTAAACAGGCAGCAGATTGGTTGTTTAGCCTATAAAATGTCAGAAGGTGGTGAAAAATGTGAGTTTTCCAATACCCAACGTGACAAATATCTTTTGTCAACAACTTAAACAATCACAATTGAAAAGCTTCAATTGGAATTTTTAAAAAAAATTAATTTAATACTACACATATAATAGAATTGGTATATGGTTTATAAAATGTCAGAAAATACTGAATAAAGTTTGTTAATGTTTCCCAAAGCCCAAGGTGACAGAATTTTTTGTCCACAATATATAAACATTCAGTTTACTTTTGTAGAGGAGGGAAAACACCAGAAAGTATTCACATTTAAAAAGCTGGAATCAGGTTTTTTTAAATTTTATTCTTAATTTTGAAATCACTTGTGGGCGATTAATTTATTACTACACAGCTAATTATTTTTTTATTTGGTCTCTAAAATGTCAGAAAATATAAATATTTCTTAATCTATTAATGTTTCCCAAAGCCTAAGATGACCTTGTTATGTCTGCAACCAAAAGATATTCGGTCTATTGTTGTAGAGTGTGAAACAAAACAGAAGATATTCAGATTTAATCAGCTGGAATCAGACAATGTATTTATGTGAAAGAGTTACTCAAACTGTAGTTGGCAAATAATCTAATAGTTGACAACTAATTGATTTAATCATTGCAGCTCTACAAGTGATAAGTATTTGTAAAAACATATATATTATAAATTAAGGATGTTGGCTTAAAAAGTAAGAGTTGGTTACTACATGTTTTGAAGAAGAGGAACTCAATAGTGAAATCAGATGCTGTAATTTGTAGTTTACGGGAAAAGCTGCAGAATCTCAGCCCTCCGCGGTGCACTGTTGGACATCCATGTGTCTAAATACAAGTACAACTTCCCATTTGTGCACAGCACTCTCAGTCGGCATGTTGAGTGTATGCAAGTTGCAGTTTAGTTTGTATTGATTTTCCTCTCATTTCCTCTGTAGGTTGAATGAGCAAGCCAGTGAGGAGATCCTCAAAGTCGAACAGAAATACAACAAACTCCGTCAGCCATTCTTTCAGAAGAGGTCAGAACTGATCGCCAAAATCCCCAACTTCTGGGTCACCACGTTTGTCAACCATCCACAAGGTAAGCAGTTAAACTATATTACTAAAATGACATGCATGTTTTATGATTTTTGAGAGTGGCTCAAGTTTGTTCTCGATTGTGTGTTTCCCCTCACAGTATCTGCCCTACTGGGGGAGGAAGATGAAGAAGCGCTTCATTACCTGAGCCGAGTGGAGGTGACAGAGTTTGAAGACATCAAGTCGGGCTACAGAATAGATTTTGTAAGCGCTTTAATTTATGCACACCTACAACATAGAAGTGCAAGTTGTTGTTTTTGTGTTTGTCTGAACTGGGTGCATTTTTTTTTTCTTTTCCAGTATTTCGACGAAAATCCGTACTTCGAAAACAAAGTACTTTCCAAAGAGTTCCATCTGAACGAGAGCGGAGACCCATCTTCAAAGTCGACAGAAATCAAATGGAAATCAGGAAAGGTGCGTCTGTCTGTGTGTGTGTTGTCAGCAAAGTAAACTGGAGAACTTGTGAGAATAAAGCTTGTTTTTTTTTCCCCATCTCTATTCAACCTGATATATTCGCTGTTTTCTTTCCTCAATATACTGACTTACAAGAACTTTCTCTCCTGAGTTGCTGTGGTGGTTTTGAGCTCTCTCTCGTGTTTTTGCAGGACCTGACCAAGCGCTCCAGCCAGACACACAACAAAGCAGGACGGAAGAGGCAACATGAAGAACCAGAGAGCTTCTTCACCTGGTTCACTGATCACGCTGACGCCGGCGCCGACGAGCTCGGGGAGGTCATCAAGGACGACATCTGGCCGAACCCTCTGCAGTACTACTTGGTGCGTTCACCGCACATTCAGCGGTCGTTACACGGGTTGAATTTGTTCCGATGTCAAAAATCTAAGTGCGGAAACTTTATGCAAAAGTGCTGAAAGTGATTCCTTGTCTCCAGGTTCCTGACATGGACGACGAGGAGGGTGAAGGCGAGGATGACGAAGAGGACGAGGAGGGTCTTGAGGACATAGACGAGGAGGGGGATGAAGAAGGAGAGGAGGACGAAGAGGATGAAGGAGAAGATGGAGAGGTAAGCTGAGTTTTAAAATTGAGAAAATAAAGAGTAGTTTTTTAATGTTTGCTAACTGATACTTTCCTCCGTTCAGGATGACGAGGGAGAAGACGACTAAAAAAATAACATCACCTACCAAGACCCTCAACCTTCTATTCCCTGTTTGGTTTTCCACTCATGTTCGGGAGCAAAGGTTTTACTTTTTTTTTTTTTTTTTTTTTTTTTTTTTT